ACTCCTCAATCCAGTCCTCCACAGTAAGACCCCCCCCCCGGAGGTTGAAGTTAATCATAAATGTTTCCATATTATGTTTGGAAGTTTGTTTCGTAACGTAAAAAGGAGGGTTTCTGCCCCGTTACTTCTCCGCTGCTTTCTTGTTCCAGTTCGAAAAGCAAGGCCAAGGGTATACCGTTTTTCTCAGACACGGAGGGATACTGACTTGTTGTGAAAAGGCACGTTCTATTTGACCGTTCTTTGATCGTGGAATCAAACACGACTATTGACCAATCAGAGAGCTTGCTCACACCTATGTGTTATAGAATAGAACAATAATGTCATTGTTAGCTAATGAATGTTTCCATGCTGAACAACGGCAACATGACAACGTTTCCATTGGTCCCTCTTCTTTAGAGAAGACCAGGAAATGATGGATACACGGATCGTGTTCAAATCAATAGGCACGCAATGACTCTAAAGAATAATGATCACGCATCAAACACACATTCAGACTAAAGGAACCAGCTGTTTGGAAAATGAGAGAAGTAGAAAGTACAAGTATTTGAGTTCAACATGTAAGAAGTAGAAAGTACAGGTATTTGAGTTCAACATGTGAGAAGTAGAAAGTACAGGTATTTGAGTTCAACATGTAAGAAGTAGAAAGTACAGGTATTTGAGTTCAACATGTGAGAAGTAGAAAGTACAGGTATTTGAGTTCAACATGTGAGAAGTAGAAAGTACAGGTATTTGAGTTCAACATGTAAGAAGTAGAAAGTACAGGTATTTGAGATCAACATGTGAGAAGTAGAAAGTACAGGTATTTGAGTTCAACATGTAAGAAGTAGAAAGTACAGGTATTTGAGATCAACATGTAAGAAGTAGAAAGTACAGGTATTTGTGTTCAACATGTAAGAAGTAGAAAGTACAGGTATTTGAGTTCAACATGTGAGAAGTAGAAAGTACAGGTATTTGGGTTCAACATGTGAGAAGTAGAAAGTACAGGTATTTGAGTTCAACATGTAAGAAGTAGAAAGTACAGGTATTTGAGTTCAACATGTGAGAAGTAGAAAGTACAAGTATTTGGGTTCAACATGTGAGAAGTAGAAAGTACAGGTATTTGGGTTCAACATGTGAGAAGTAGAAAGTACAGGTATTTGAGATCAACATGTAAGAAGTAGAAAGTACAGGTATTTGTGTTCAACATGTAAGAAGTAGAAAGTACAGGTATTTGAGTTCAACATGTGAGAAGTAGAAAGTACAGGTATTTGGGTTCAACATGTAAGAAGTAGAAAGTACAGGTATTTGAGTTCAACATGTGAGAAGTAGAAAGTACAGGTATTTGAGTTCAACATGTGAGAAGTAGAAAGTACAGGTATTTGAGTTCAACATGTAAGAAGTAGAAAGTACAGGTATTTGAGTTCAACATGTGAGAAGTAGAAAGTACAGGTATTTGAGTTCAACATGTAAGAAGTAGAAAGTACAGGTATTTGTGTTCAACATGTAAGAAGTAGAAAGTACAGGTATTTGAGTTCAACATGTGAGAAGTAGAAAGTACAGGGTATTTGGGTTCAACATGTAAGAAGTAGAAAGTACAGGTATTTGAGTTCAACATGTGAGAAGTAGAAAGTACAGGTATTTGAGTTCAACATGTGAGAAGTAGAAAGTACAGGTATTTGGGTTCAACATGTAAGAAGTAGAAAGTACAGGTATTTGAGTTCAACATGTAAGAAGTAGAAAGTACAGGTATTTGAGTTCACATGTAAGAAGTAGAAAGTACAGGTATGTGTGTTCAACATGTAAGAAGTAGAAGTACAGGTATTTGAGTTCAACATGTGAGAAGTAGAAAGTACAGGTATTTGAGTTCAACATGTGAGAAGTAGAAAGTACAGGTATTTGAGTTCAACATGTAAGAAGTAGAAAGTACAGGTATTTGAGATCAACATGTGAGAAGTAGAAAGTACAGGTATTTGAGTTCACATGTGAGAAGTAGAAAGTACAGGTATTTGAGTTCAACATGTGAGAAGTAGAAAGTACAGGTATTTGAGTTCAACATGTAAGAAGTAGAAAGTACAGGTATTTGAGTTCAACATGTAAGAAGTAGAAAGTACAGGTATTTGAGTTCAACATGTGAGAAGTAGAAAGTACAGGTATTTGAGTTCAACATGTAAGAAGTAGAAAGTACAGGTATTTGAGATCAACATGTGAGAAGTAGAAAGTAAAGGTATTTGAGTTCAACATGTAAGAAGTAGAAAGTACAGGTATTTGTGTTCAACATGTAAGAAGTAGAAGTACAGGTATTTTGTGTTCAACATGTAAGAAGTAGAAAGTACAGGTATTTGAGTTCAACATGTGAGAAGTAGAAAGTACAGGTATTTGTGTTCAACATGTAAGAAGTAGAAAGTACAGGTATTTGAGTTCAACATGTGAGAAGTAGAAAGTACTGGTATTTGTGTTCAACATGTAAGAAGTAGAAAGTACAGGTATTTGTGTTCAACATGTAAGAAGTAGAAAGTACTGGTATTTGGGTTCAACATGTAAGAAGTAGAAAGTACAGGTATTTAGGTTCAACATGTAAGAAGTAGAAAGTACAGGTATTTGAGTTCAACATGTGAGAAGTAGAAAGTACAGGTATTTGAGTTCAACATGTAAGAAGTAGAAAGTACAGGTATTTGAGTTCAACATGTGAGAAGTAGAAAGTACAGGTATTTGTGTTCAACATGTGAGAAGTAGAAAGTACAGGTATTTGAGTTCAACATGTAAGAAGTAGAAAGTACAGGTATTTGAGTTCAACATGTGAGAAGTAGAAAGTACAGGTATTTGGGTTCAACATGTAAGAAGTAGAAAGTACAGGTATTTGTGTTCAACATGTAAGAAGTAGAAAGTACAGGTATTTAGGTTCAACATGTAAGAAGTAGAAAGTACAGGTATTTGAGTTCAACATGTGAGAAGTAGAAAGTACAGGTATTTGAGTTCAACATGTGAGAAGTAGAAAGTACAGGTATTTAGGTTCAACATGTAAGAAGTAGAAAGTACAGGTATTTAGGTTCAACATGTAAGAAGTAGAAAGTACAGGTATTTGAGTTCAACATGTGAGAAGTAGAAAGTACAGGTATTTGGGTTCAACATGTAAGAAGTAGAAAGTACAGGTATTTAGGTTCAACATGTAAGAAGTAGAAAGTACAGGTATTTGAGTTCAACATGTGAGAAGTAGAAAGTACAGGTATTTGTGTTCAACATGTGAGAAGTAGAAAGTACAGGTATTTGAGTTCAACATGTAAGAAGTAGAAAGTACAGGTATTTGTGTTCAACATGTAAGAAGTAGAAAGTACAGGTATTTGAGTTCAACATGTGAGAAGTAGAAAGTACAGGTATTTGTGTTCAACATGTGAGAAGTAGAAAGTACAGGTATTTGGGTTTCAACATGTAAGAAGTAGAAAGTACAGGTATTTGAGTTCAACATGTAAGAAGTAGAAAGTACAGGTATTTGTGTTCAACATGTGAGAAGTAGAAAGTACAGGTATTTGAGTTCAACATGTAAGAAGTAGAAAGTACAGGTATTTGTGTTCAACATGTAAGAAGTAGAAAGTACAGGTATTTGAGTTCAACATGTAAGAAGTAGAAAGTACAGGTATTTGTGTTCAACATGTGAGAAGTAGAAAGTACAGGTATTTGTGTTCAACATGTAAGAAGTAGAAAGTACAGGTATTTGTGTTCAACATGTGAGAAGTAGAAAGTACAGGTATTTGAGTTCAACATGTAAGAAGTAGAAAGTACAGGTATTTGTGTTCAACATGTGAGAAGTAGAAAGTACAGGTATTTGAGTTCAACATGTAAGAAGTAGAAAGTACAGGTATTTGAGTTCAACCTATAAGAAGTAGAAAGTACAGGTATTTGAGTTCAACATGTAAGAAGTAGAAAGTACAGGTATTTGTGTTCAACATGTAAGAAGTAGAAAGTACAGGTATTTGTGTTCAACATGTGAGAAGTAGAAAGTACAGGTATTTGAGTTCAACATGTAAGAAGTAGAAAGTACAGGTATTTGTGTTTCAACATGTAAGAAGTAGAAAGTACAGGTATTTGTGTTCAACATGTAAGAAGTAGAAAGTACAGGTATTTGTGTTCAACATGTAAGAAGTAGAAAGTACAGGTATTTGAGTTCAACATGTAAGAAGTAGAAAGTACAGGTATTTGAGTTCAACATGTAAGAAGTAGAAAGTACAGGTATTTGAGTTCAACATGTGAGAAGTAGAAAGTACAGGTATTTGTGTTCAACATGTAAGAAGTAGAAAGTACAGGTATTTGAGTTCAACATGTAAGAAGTAGAAAGTACAGGTATTTGAGTTCAACATGTGAGAAGTCAAAGTAAAAAGTCGTCAGAAAAATAAGTAGTGGAGTAAAGTACTGATACCAGAAAACATGTACTTAAGTACAGTAACAAAGTATTTGTACTCCACTACTTCCCACCTCTGGTCTCAAATATATACAAATATATATAAATCATGTCTATGATGTGTTTTGCTCAAAACACCAAACAGGTCATGCACTTTAGAAATCCCTCATATCTGTTTCAGCCCTGTTACTGAAGTGCTGATTCTGGGTCAGTAGCTTTAAATTTGAACCAGATATTACGTCATATCGCACGAAATCTGGATCAGCTCCGTTGGTCCCCGTTTTTAGAGATGTGGGTACGGAGGAAAAGAGAGAGGGGTTTATTTTCGGACACTTTGTGAGTCTCTTGACACACGGGGACACACGGGGGACACACACCGGACACACACCGGACACACACACCGGACACACACCGGGGACACATGGGACACACAGAACACACAGGACACACAACGGGGACACACCGGGGACACATATTAGAGAAGACATCAGAAAGTTCATACTGCATGATAGGAGACCTGACACCATCTGATCCCTTCTCCCTCCCCCTGTGCAGGTGAAGGTGGAGGAGGAGGTGACGAGCTGTAACGTCAACACGGACCACATCTTCTACACCATCTACTCCACCTTCGGGGCGTTCTACATCCCGACGCTGCTGCTCATCGCGCTCTACGGGCGGATCTACGTGGAAGCCCGGAAGCGAATCCTCAAGCAGTCGAGCAACAACAAAAAGCCCGGAAAGAGACTCACGTCGGCTCACCTTATCACCGATTCTCCTGGATCTGTGGCCTCCAGCACGTCTCTAACCTACGGGACAAAACGACGCCTCTTCCTGCGACACTTCTGTGCATCAAGTGAAGGTCACGGTGTCCGACGCGCTGCTGGAGAAGAAGAGAATCTCCGCCGCCCGAGAGAGGAAAGCCACCAAGACTTTGGGCATCATTTTGGGCGCGTACATCGTGTGCTGGCTGCCGTTCTTCATCTACACCCTGGTAGTGTCCGCCTGTGATTCCTGTTTCCACCCGGGGCTTTTCGACATCTTCACCTGGCTGGGATACCTCAACTCTCTGATCAACCCCATCATTTACACCATGTCAAACGAGGACTTTAAACGCGCTTTCCACAAACTGATCCGGTTCAGATGCTGCCGGGCGTGAAACCAGCCGTCCTCTGTGCGATCGAGGGAATGCACTGAGACAACGAGATCATCCAATGTGTGAAATGTTTGCGTTGCAGCAGCTTACAAGACAAGGCTTGTACGTAAGAGAAATTAAAAGACTTGAAATAAACAATCCAAAATGTAAACATCTCAAATAGAAATAAAATCGCATTAAAAGAGTAATGTGGAAGAGTTTAAGTCCAAGAGAAGCTGAAATGAAATGTATGATGTCAACAAACTGAAGTCAGCATTTCAGTGTTTTCAGTGGCGGCCATCTTTGGAGGAGAGATCAGTGGTTTTGCCAACAATCAGAAAGTATGCGTGGAATATAAATACCGTTTTTGCTCGTGCACGGATACACCTCAAAGGGGGTAAGATGTCTAACATCTGTGTCTAACACACATTATCTAAAGATTATGTGTTGCTTTTGTAATTGTGGGAATAATTATAACATATATTATTATATTAAACTAAATTGATGGCACGTTCCTATTCCTACACTCTGAGTACTTCTACTCTTACTCAAGTACTAGATCTGAGTACTTCTACTCTTACTAAAGTACTAGATCTGAGTACTTTTACTTTTACTCAAGTACTAGATCTGAGTACTTCTACTCTTACTCAAGTACTAGATCTGAGTACTTCTACTCTTACTCAAGTACTAGATCTGAGTACTTCTACTCTTACTAAAGTACAAGATCTGAGTACTTCTACTTTTACTCAAGTACAAGACCTGAGTACTTCTACTTTTACTCAAGTACATGATCTGAGTACTTCTACTCTTACTCAAGTACTAGATCTGAGTACTTCTACTCTTACTCAAGTACAAGATCTGAGTACTTCTACTCTTACTCAAATAGAAGATCTGAGTACTTCTACTTTTACTCAAGTACAAGACCTGAGTACTTCTACTTTTAATAAAGTACAAGATCTGAGTACTTCTACTTTTACTCTAGTACAAGATCTGAGTACTTCTACTTTTACTCAAGTACAAGATCTGAGTACTTCTACTTTTACTCAAGTACAAGACCTGAGTACTTCTACTTTTACTCAAGTACAAGACCTGAGTACTTCTACTTTAACTAAAGTACAAGACCTGAGTACTTCTACTTTTACTCAAGTACAAGATCTGAGTACTTCTACTTTACTCAAGTACAAGATCTGAGTACTTCTACCACCTCTGCTAGCGACCATGTTTACGTTTGATTTAAAAGATGACGCCTCCTCCGCTCGCTGTCCACGTTGCGTTCGCTAGTATCTTCAAAGATGGCCGCCTTGTTGTTGTTGACATCCCATTCCCACAATGCAGTATTTCCCCCTGAGGACGCCGACATCTACAATGGATCGACCTGCCTCCGATGGCACCACTGGATTAAGATGCTAACCTTGTAACGCTGCAGGAGGATGTTTGAGCTCGCTGTGGAGCAGATGCTAATGTTGCTAATGTTGCTAATGTTGCTAATGGAGGACGCCCAGACTGTCTTTGCCATAATGAGTTTGACAGTCAACAGTCGTTGGCTTGTAAGCACAAACAGATTAGCGCTAAGCTAACAACGAGCCCCACGGGCAAAAAATAAGATGTGTGTTTGTTTCCCCGTCTCAATAAGGGGAAGTTCTGGTGCCTACAACGAGTTTCTGTTCCTCAGGTGTGCCTGGCCTCGATGAAAACCAGAGGGTTTCAGTTTGAGAAAGACACACAGGTTCGGCCAGTGTTTGTGTTTTCATTTGTTGTTGTTGAGTTAAACGGTTATTTTGCTAATGGATTAATCCAAACGATTGGTATAAAATGTCAGAAAATAGAAAAAAGGCTTTAATTGTCTTGTTTTTGTCAATGCAAAACCCAAAGAGAGTCACTTTAATACGATATAAAACTGAGAAATCTCACTTAAAAACAGCATTTTCTGACATTTCTTTGCAAGGATTAATCGATTAATCAAAAACATAATAATAAGGGATTATGTTTTCTGTGGATCAGCTTTAGTTGACTTTAAACAAGGCTCCAAACTGAGTGTAAATCCCTGTGAATGTTGCTCAGAGAAAACTGTAAGATAGTGAGGGAATGAAGAGCCAGTATTGTGAAATCTACCAGACCTCTCGTGAAAGGTGGGGTAGGTACGTTTCAGAAACCGGCTCGAGTGCAGTAACATTTGAAAGTACACAGCCGAAAAGAATCCGCCCCTTCCTTCAGACTTCCTTACAGAGCACCTCCTCCAACACACATGAACGCCCAATCCACGCCCAATGACGGCACGCCCAATGAGGGCACGAGATACATTTGTGCGTGCACGAGATGGAAGGCTTACAGACAGGGCGGCAATCCAATCCGTTTAGCCGGGCCGGCTAAAATGATTGTTCGTGCTTTTTACAGCGCTACGGCTTCCACAGATGACATGTTGTTATGGATTTGTTGTCAAAGCACTTCAGATATTCATTGCTATCGGGATGTTAAGAGCATTCCATGGAATATAACAAAAAGTGTTTCTCGAGCCGGTTTCTCAAACTTACCTACCCCACCTTTAAGGATTTTTTAATTGTTAATATTAGCTTTGATGTTCCATTTCATGTCAGGCTAAACAAATGCAACTCCAAATCCTGAGGGACAGGGTTCCTACGGCCATTTCTTATTTCTTTTTATGTTTAAAGCCTCTGGGAAAATGTCATGGTATTCTGATCAAACCCAGCATTTATCCTCCCATCAAACCGGCTAAATGTCAAGCTTTAGCTGCTGCTGATCCTCGAAAAGGAATATGTTTAGGGGGATACATCACACTGTAAAAAGTCCCTTTGCTTACAGGTTTTCAGGAAAAGATGTTAAAAAAACTGTAAAAAAGACAACCAACAAAACATAGAAATCTTCTGGGTTAAGTTATTGGCGTGACATCTTGACTTTGGGAGCTTTACAACCTGAAATGATACACGTGAGTAAATATTACCATTATGCAATTAGCATCAACATAATTGGATTTTCATTTGTTTTTACGCCAAAAAAACGTGTTATATTGAAGAGCTTTACAGTTATTTGCCCTTTTACATTACATGACATGACACTTGTTAGACGCTTTTATCCAAAGCGACTTCCATACTCAATACTGTGGGCAATCCCCAAAGGAGCAATTTGGGGTGAAGTGTCCCAGGGACACAACGACATGCTGACTGCAGTGGGGTTCGAACTTGTGACCCCCTGAACCCAACACCAAGGCTCTATCCACTGCGCCACACGCCTCCCTATTGCCCTTGCCATTGAGGAGAAAGCATTTGGCTATCATGTAAGGCAATAACATTACAAACAATACTATTTAAATGTTGAAGAAATAACGTTAATATAATGGGAATACGGTTTTGTAAGCTTTGGGATTGCTGGCTATGACTAGTGTAATTTTCTCTAAAGAAATTCAGAAATCTCAACAATAAGGTTGGAAGAGAACCTGTAGGAACCCTGTCCCGTTAATGTATAGGAATCATTTTGGAAATTAAGTTTATTCGCTTTCTTGCTGAGAAATATACGTGACAATGGATGCTTCTCCTATATCTCTGGCGCCTACATTTCCCATAATGCAACTCAGCTGCTGACATCAATGGAGAATGTGTATCATCATAGACTCTCTATGGAGACATTAGAAGCTTTGTATGGCTATTAAAACATGTTTAATAATTTTAACACCATAAAAACAACCTGAAGAACCTTATTAAATATAGAGCTACACACAGTTATCCTAGCTTAGCATAATGACTGGAAACAAAGGGAAACAGCTAGCATGACTCTGTACAACGTTTTAAAAGGAGGTGGAATTGCAAACCCCTCTAAAGGTCAGTAACTTAAACATATCTCCACTTTTGAATCTGTACACAAATGTAAACAACAACAAAAAGTGAAGTTACACCACGTAGCTCCACGCAAAACCAAACAAAGACATTTGATTTCACGTTCAAATTTTGCACGAATTAAACAAATTAGTTCCTTTTTTGAGCTTTGTAATCATTTTGAGCCACATTTCAAACTTTGGACAGAGCGAGGTTAGCTATTGTTCCCTGTTTCCAATTTGAATGCTAAGCTAAACTAACCTCATATGAGCTAAGCTAAGCTAACGGCCTGCTAGCTCTAGCGCTATACTTAACATACTGAGTGGTGTAAATCATGAATCTGAAAGCCTTTACACACCTGGAGCGTATCAAATAAACAATAAGAACATTTTGTTTTTGTGACGATTAAATGTTGAGCTTTTATTGTGAAAAGCTATAAAGGAAGTGGATCTTATTTCCCTTGTCACGGTTGAAGGAAGTAAATAAATGTAAATAAATGTTCTGTCTTAGTTTGGACTACATAACGATGGCGTTGTTGTTTGAAAATCCTTATAAATACAATCTTTATGCACAACGTCATTGGTTGATGCTTTTATGTTATTATGTGGAAGCTTCAAAAACACATTACAACAAATGTTTGCAGTGTAATATTGAAAGCATTTATTACTAAAGCAACAGTTTGAGTGCGATTTTGCACAAATAAAGACGCTCTCGGTGTGTAAAGTCGTACGTCTCAGCAAGAGAGCGAAATGAAAGCTTATTTACCAATATAACCGACAAAACAACATGCATTTGTTATCAAAATGAAAAGGGAAAAACTGTCTGGGAATTCAAAACGCTGCTACAAAAAAGCTGCAGGGAGTTTGTTGCAGAAACCAAACCAAAAGACAGGAAGTCCTGCTGCTGTGTGTTCTTCAGCGTTCCTTCCTGACGCCGTGTTGGATGTCTGAGCCAAAAGACTCTGACGGAAAGCCTCTCTGTGTACCGTCTGTCAATCCAGAGGAAGTTGCATTTCATTCTGCTGTAAAACGCTTCTACACACATGGGCGATGCACTGCTCCGAAGGATGAAATCCAACCTGCTTGGAGCACAAAAAAAGCACTGCTGCTGTTGTGAAAACTGAACAAAAATATCAATAAAAAAGGTCTATGGTATCACGAGGTGGACGCTACTTTGCCCGCGTTCTCATTTCTCTCATCAAATGCCTTTATACTGTAAATCTGGGGGAACGCAGAGGTGGTACAAGAACACACATCCTGTCCTCAAGTAGAAGTACTGACTAAACTTCTTTACTCAAGTAAAAGTAAAGAAGTATGGGCTTTGAAGTACCCATAGCTAGCAGCTGTTTTAAAGAGTACCTGACCTCCCTTTATATTAAT